AGCAGTCTGCTGATCATCAGGATTTGGAACTTTAGGGCACTGAACGCCTCCTGGCTCATGGAGCAAGTGAACACACCATTGATGAGGAGTTCTCAAATGCTGTTTTCTGCGAAGCACCATTTAGTGTTGTAACTTTCAAAATAAAGTGCACACTGAAGAGACGTTCAATTTAAAACTAAAATGAAGAAGTGGTCGAGTAAAGACGTGAAAATGAAACTGACCCGAGTGTGTGTGTGTGTGTGTGTGTGTGTGTGTTCAGCTTATCAACAAACTCTGACCTCAGAAAAAACTTATTCCTGGAATAACCCAAGGTAAATAACTTTATTTGTGTGTGTGTGTGTGTGTGTGTGTGTGTGTGTGTGTGTGTGTGTGTGTGTGTGTGTGTACCTTTGTCCATCAGTGTGAGTTGCAGCCTGCTGCCATAAAAACAGGGTTGAGGTCTGAGATGGGGCTGGCTGTCATGATGTTTCCTCCAAGCCTGAAAACATTAAAACAACAGAATTGTTTGACACCTTGATGATTTTATGAGCCTTAATGTCCTTTTAATGACGTGTGGAAACATGTTTTAGTGTTTGATTGAGTTTAATCCACAGTCAGAGCTGAACAGACAGCTGTAGTCTCTGTTTAACTCTGGGCACTGTGATCTCCCTGGCACCTTGAACTACTCACTGGCTCTGTGTATGTCCTGGAAAAAGCTCAGTCCTCAAACTTTCTTGAACTCCGATAGATGTTCTGCAACTTTCCAGTGTCCCTGAACTACACACTTTCTCTGCAAACTGTGATCTAGAGTCTAGAGTATTACCATGTTCCTGAACTCATCACTGGTTGAGTACTGGTTCACTTAAAGTTTACTCTGCTTTACAGGGTCCTTGAACTACACACGCTTTAATTTACAAAAAACAAGTGAACTACCCAGCAGCTCTGTATGTTCCCTCAGAGATCTTTACTCTAATCTGGGAAAACCCTGATCTCCTACACTCTTTGAACTCCCCACAGTGTTTGTTAAATATCTTGAGTGGCTGTTACTGCCTCGCTCAGTCAATAATAAACTTTGTGCTACTCACCGCTACGTTTCGTATCTGCAGTCCAGCGAACCAGCGCAGCTGTTCGAGGACGGCGAGGAAGACTTCTGTCTGATGAGGAGGAAGAGTTTCTACTGCCTTCTTAAGCACCGCCCCATGTGGCTGAGTGTGCACGCTGCACCAAAAACTACACCTGAAGAGAAACAAATACAAGAAAGAGCCTGAAACTTAATATTTAACATATAGAGTCATATTTTAACCTTTTATATCAAGTAGTACTCACCGTCCGCTGTGTGTGACACGTTGTTCAGTTCAGGGATGAACGCTGGAGCCAAGATGACCGGGTACACCATGTTCTTAAACTTCACCTCAATACCTAAAAACAAACAAACACAGTAACCAAGTGACAGAATGAATGAATGAATGAACCAATGAATGAATGTGTTGGTGAGGGGCTTACTGACCCACTTCAGTGTTGCCCACCACCACTCTGGCGTCTGGATGTTCCCACTTCAGACGCAGAAACTCGTCCAGACTGTCAGGCTGCAGCCACGATGCCCGGTCGCCACGGAAACAAAGCAAGCCTGACCTCTGATCTTTAGAGAGCGACTGGACGAGAGGAAGGAGAGAAAATAAGAAGATAACAACTATCACTGGATTAGATCAGAAAACCTGATGATTCGACGGATAGCTCCAGAGTTTTTTCTGGTTCTAAGCAGATTTATGGACTTAAAGTTGATCTCACTGTTGAATGTAGTTTGTAATAAGAAAGAGGAGGTCACTCTGTATCTAATGATGTCTGTTTCATGTATGCATGTTCAGTATTGATGGAGTTTTCATCTAAAGTCTGAAAAAAAGCCTCCATATTCGGCTGTACGCTGATGATGTCCTGATTTATATCAGAGATGAACATTTTGAAATAAGCAATTTTGACCTTCAGATCTCATTTAGGCCATGTGACCATGGCTGTGTGATTGTGTTTATCAGTTCACCATGAGCTCAGGGGGGAAGATGACCTCCTGTGTTGGATCAAACGGAGTGAAGTCTGCTGGATTAAAAAGAGACGTTGCTTCCTGCAAAAAACAAAAACAAAGTTTACAGTCAAAAGCATTTAAGATTCTGGCACTGGAATTACTCCCGGTAAACAAATTATTTATATTATTATATGCTGGTCAAATGTCTTTCTCAAACTGCAACACAGCCATCGACCACTTGGCGGGGCTGTAGCCATAGACTGGTTGTAGCTCTGGTTAATGGTCATGAGCAGTTTGTCAGTGTTTGGATCTGTAGAATGGAAGTTATATGTCACTGAGTCAGGTTAAACTAACCAATGAGTGACCACATTCAGCTCAGACACGAGGACGTTAACCTGCAGGGAGGTCTGAAGGCTGGAGGTGCTAACACTGCTAACATTAGCCACACTCAACTAATCCAATTACATCATGCAAACACTCAAACAGCCTTAAATAAATTGTGAAATGTGACTGTTTTCTGAGAGTTTTGGAACCTTCAGACTCTTCAATAAGTTTGTATTTATATTTCCGTTGAACTGCAGAGGAACATCCTTACTTTGAAATCAGTCCACACACAGTCAGACTTACATCGCTGTCTTCCTTTGAGCTTTTCTCAGCTGCGTTCCCATTGGTCATACAGCAGCCGTTCTCCCGTCCCCGCCGCCGCAGCAGCCGCCGTCCTGGAGGAAGAACAGAGCAGGTTACTGTGGACATTCAGACAATGTCATACTTTGATGTTTAATTCATGAACCGCTGAATAAATCCACATTAACAGGTGTAAGATAACGTGTGTTTCTCACCACAGTGAACGTCTTGTATCCCTCCAGGATAGGTCTGTATCCAGTGCAACGACAAAGATTACCTGGAGAAATGACCAAATGTTATTCTGTATGATCCTTTTCTGTCACATATGAGAGGTCAATCATCACTTTCAGTCCCATCACCAAATGTATGATCTATCTGTGTCAGTACCGTGGAAGGCCTCCTCCACGTCGGCCATCTTTGGTTTGGGGTTGTTCCTCAGCAGAGCGTACATGGACATGACGATCCCCGGGGTACAGAAACCACATTGAGAGCCATGAGCCATCGCGATCCGCTCCTGAACAACACAAAGAGTTACACCTGAAGAAGAACTACCTACAACCTGTCCACATGTCTACGTCAGGTGTTGTCTTTCTCCCTCTAGTGGACAAACATATATTAAAGCTTTGTGTGAAAACACTTTAGTTGAGGTTAGTTTGTGTTTTACCTGAACAGGATGTAATTCTCTCGCCACGCTGCCGATGCCCTCCACAGTCGTCACGGCAACCAGGTGCAGTGAGCAGAGGGGGCGAGACAGGCGTTCACGGCGTAATGACTCGACGCGAGTTAAAGACTTTTAGACCGCTCACAGAAAGTTCATCAGAGGAGAGACACACACACACACACACACACACACACACACACACACACACACACACACACACACACACACACACACACACACACACACACACACACACACACACACACACACACACACACACACACACACACACACACACACACACACCCACACACACACACACACACACACGCTTTGAGGATACAGCAGCTGCTGAGTGTGTGTTTGGTATCTGGACAACATGACGGTGCACGCTCCACAGCCGCCCTCCGCACAGCCCAGCTTAGTTCCTGTTAAACCCACTGAACACACACACACACACACACACACACACACACACACAGTACATGTGTGAAGTCACGGGATCACTGACGATCTTCATCTTCACGCTTTCTGTAAAACACTCGACCAGCTGCTCTGACCTTTCATGCTACATCTGGTTTCCACTCAGCCAATCAGAGGGCAGCATTTCATTTAGCATTTCACTAACCTAACCCATACCTTAGTAAAAGTCCTTGATTTGGACCCTGGACCTCGTTCAACCTGGACTGTCAGTGTTGTTTTGGACTTTGATCAGCTGACCTCTCCGTCGCTCTTCCGGCGGCGGCTTTATGAGAACGCCAACAAACTGAACGCTCGTTTAAGAAACGCCAGCTTTAACCACAGAGGAGATTTCTTTACTGCTGACTGAGCAGAAAAATCTCTCTGATGTCTGACTCTGTCCTCTGTCCTGTCTCAATTCTGCTTCCAGTGTTGTGACACAAGTGTGTGTGTGTGTGTGTGTGTGTGTGTGTGTGTGTGTGTGGTGTGTGATGTGTGTGTGTGTGTGTGTGTGTGTGTGTGTGTGTGTGTGTGTGTGTGTGTGTGTGTGTGTGTGTGTGTGTGTGTGTGTGTGTGTGTGTGTGTGTGTGTGTGTGTGTGTGTGTCTGTGTGTGTGTGTGTGTGTGTGTGTGTGTGTGTGTGTGTGTGTGTGTGTGTGTGTGTGTGTGTGTCTGTGTGTGTGTCTGTGTGTGTGTGTGTGTGTGTGTGTGTGTGTGTGTGTGTGTGCATACATTTCCTCCTCAGGTACGTCAGCAGGGTCATCTCAGGATCTGCATTTCTCTCCACAATCTGAAACACACATTAAAAAAATATAAAAGTTCGTTACACACACACACACACACACACACACTTGTGTCACAACACTGGAAGTAGAATTGAGACAGAATCCACATTTTGTTCCGCATTCTCACTTTTGGATCATCACATGTGAAGTTCTTCACGCGCCCTGACTGTTCATGATGTCTGATTATTCCACACATTCCTCTCTCACTGCACCAGAGCTGTGTGTTTACACATCAGTTTAGTTATTATTATTATTATTATTATTATTATTAACTAGAAATTGCATTTACCTGCGGAAAATGCGTGTGAATGCTGACGGCTGAAATGTTTTGCAAAACACTGCTGAATGAAGAAGAATCAGCAGAAGATGATGAAGAAAAAGTAGAAGTAGAAGATTAGGAGTAAAAGTAGAGAAGAAACACAGAGACTAAAAATACACAGCTGAGACTAACGAGCCACAGGTGAGGGCAATCACACAGAGGCAGACAATGAGAAAAAGGGGAAAACGTCTCCCTATTGGGTGCTCATTTCAAGGGCTTTAAATTAAGAGTTGGTGGCTAAACGATGATTTTGTGAGCAAGAGGACAAATGGCGAACGCGTCGATGTGATTTTCATGTCTGGGGTCCAAGAAATGTGGAAACCACAGCGAATTGAAAAGTTAGTCCCAAGAGGTGTGGTCAGTGAAGTCAGGCCTAAGTTTAACATTAGCCCAGATGAGATTTCTCGGGACCACCTGCCGCTTTGAAGCTCACGGTGGAAAAAGCTTTTCTCCAATTGTCCTGAAAACTCAATATGTCAGAGAGGACAAGTTTTCCTACATTTTGAGGGTAAATTTATGTGTGTGGGTGAAGATTGTGGTCAGGAGAGCAATTTGTTCGGGAGATTTTGAAACTATTTCAGAACTCTGTCACACTCTAGTGATGATGTCACTCACTCTAAAATGTGAGAAAAGTTCAAAACTTCACCCAACAGTTGAAGGTACAGTTTGAAAAGTATAAAAGTAGCAAGACAAGTGAAAGTAATAATAGTGTGTGAATAGAGGACAAGTGTGTGAACATTTTAAAGCAAAAATGGAGTCTCTAGGAGAACACAGCCAGAGTTATGAGGCTGAGAAAAAAGTGTAAAACGTGAAAAAGTTGAAAATTTTCTTCCAGCATTCACACTAATAAACAGGAGACTCAGATGAATGTAATCACTCATGATGAGCTGAGGTGATTGAAACAGAAGCTGAAAGCAGTGCAGAGTCTGTAACTCACTGATACGTCATTTAAACAGAATATTAAATATCTTTTACCTTCTTCCGTTAACGAACAAGATGAGTTGGCAGACCCAGAATCCGGACCCAGATCCGGACCAGATCCGGACCTGGGGCGGGTCTCGCCTTCGGCTTTGGTCCCATCCGCTGCCCCATGTCTTCGGTCCCTCTGTGTCCTCTGAACGGTGCCGGTCCCTAATGACCCGGACTCTGCGAGAGAGGTGTGTCCTTCAGGACCCGTAGAGACAAACTGCTCCTCCTCCGTGAAAACCCTCAGCTCAAACCGCCTCACCTGAGCCGAATGTAAAGGTGCGTTCAGGTGCTCCCAAATCACCACAGGTTCCTCGGTCACGCGCTATTATTCGATAAAAATCATCATTCATTTAAACTCGTTTATTTTCTAACCGAGTCTGGAACAGCGTGTTCTTCTCCTCTTCCCTGTAGAATGTAAGTGTTGTTGCTTTTTCATACAGAAAGACTGACCCGCAGTACCCTGCGTGACCTTTGACCCCAGATAAAACTGTGGCCACGCCCTCTTTATGCCAATCATTCAGAGGCCATTCTCAAGCCACTCAGTGAGGTTCAAGTGAAACTTTAATACTCATACTCTGTCCAGTTCACTGATTAATATTCATCTTCATTAAAAAAATTGTAATATAAAAAAAATAATTAATTATCAAAATAAAATGATCTACATACAGTTATCAAATATTTATCATGAAAACATGAAACTGTTCCAGAATAAAACATTAAAAAGTGTCAGAAAGATCAAATTAATTAATCAGTTATTAATTAACATTTAGCATTTGTAACAATTTGTAATCACATTTAATTTAAATTAAATTTGATTAATTAAATTCCATCCATCATCTACACACCTTTCCTTTTCAGGGTTCTGGGGGGCGGAGCCTATCCCAGCTGTCATCGGGTGAGAGGCCAATCACAGAGCTGACATTTAGAGACAGACAACCAGACACACTCACATTCACACCTACAGAACATCTAGAGTCAACAGTTAACCTAACGAGCATGTCTTTGGACTGTGAGAGGAAGACGGAGAACCAGGAGAGAACACACATGAACGAGGAGAACATGCAGACTCCTCACAGAGAAACTCCTGAAGGACGGGGATTCAAACCAGGAACCTCTCACACAGAGAGACTCCTGAAGGACGGGGATTCAAACCAGGAACTCCTCACAGAGAGACTCCTGAAGGACGGGGATTCAAACCAGGAACCTCCACACAGAGAGACTCCTGAAGGACGGGGATTCAAACCAGGAACCTCACACAGAGAGACTCCTGAAGGACGGGGATTCAAACCAGGAACCTCCTCACAGAGAGACTCCTGAAGGACGGGGATTCAAACAGGAACCTCCACAGAGAGACTCCTGAAGGACGGGGATTCAAACAGGAACCTCCTCACAGAGAGGCTCCTGAAGGACGGGGATTCAAACCAGGAGAGACCTCTCTCTCTCTCTCTCTCTCTCTCTTCTCTCTCTCTCTCTCTTCTCTCTCTCTCTCTCTCTCTCTCTCTGATTTGTGTTGGTCACTCGCCCTTCACGTGGTTTCTTGTCTCGCTCAGAATCAATCAGAGGGTTAGGGTCAGACTGATCCAGAACCTTCTCTCTGCTGTCTCAGTCACATTAACACTCCGGCTTCAGAGTCCAGGTCAGCGGGGTCAACAGGGGTCAACGGGGGTCAACGAGGGTCAACGGGTCAGTTCTGAGAGACGCGGTGGTTTAAGAGCAAAGAATTCACGTTACCATGGCAACGGCAACTACACGGACTCGGTTCGTCTGAGAAAAAGATGGACGTCAAGAACCAAAGAAGACAAAATATGAACCTTTACTGACGTGAACTCTGACCCTGGTCATAAGCTCCGCCTCCTCTAAATGAGTGAGAAGAGAAAAGAGTGAAACATCTGCAGACGGTTTTTATCAGACGAGTGATTATTAACCCGCAGAGAGTCGGGCGGCGTCAGCGTGGCGTTTAAGAGCTGCAGGAACTCTGAACATCTCCGCTCTGAAGCTTCCAATCTGCAACGTTTACAACATTTCAAAATGATAAAGAGTGTTTTATTACGTTGTCAGAACTTTCAAAATAAAAGCATGCAGAGTAAAAACAGAAGACGATAATGTTCAGACAAACATTGAAGTGTTTTATTCACTAAAGGAAACTAGAAAGGGAAAAGTCATGGCTGTGATGCGTTTAAGTACTGCAGGAAAATCTCAACCTGTTTTCAGGTTTACAGTAAAACCTTCTTTTTATCCAGTGGAGGAGATGAGATGATGTTTACATGAACAGGAGGAAACCTCAAAGTCACTTCTTCTTCTTCTTCTTCTCTCTTTTACGTCCTTTGTGAGTCCAGGTGAACTCCTTTCAAACTTTCTTCTTCTCCATGTTCAAACGTTTTATTGAATCCAGACGACGTGCA